CGCTCACTCCCAATACAGAACACTCCACCAGGGCCAGTGACACGAATGGATTCCAGACCCTTGGCTGACTTCTTAAAGGTGAACTCTACGGCCTCGCCCTCCTTGAGGCTTCGGAAACCCTCCTAGTGCAGCTTACTCTGGTGCACAAAGACGTCCACCGGGGGGTCGAGCGCGACCCCGGCGAGGGTAGTCTTGGACAGGAAGCCGAACCCCATGCGCACGTTGAACAACTTACAGATGCCGGCCCCGTGCAGCAGCTGCGGCTTGTCTGCCGCCCGAGCCGCGTCAGCCGGCGCCTCCTCGGGCGCCTTCTCCGCTGCCTTGGCGCAGCCACCTGCAAACTGCTGGTTGGACACCGAGCCCATGGTCGTCGGCTGAGCCCGTGGCCCCGGGTCCCAGGTCGGACGGCTGCTGACCCCAGAGAAGTCCGGAGGCAAAGGCCAAATTTGACTTCTTGAGCAGTTATTTCTAATGGTTTAAATTTTGAATGACTAGTCAATAATGACAAAGTCCACTAGACTATATATCATTTACACTCCACTAATTTGTGACTCTTACTTGTTATCTATAAAATGTATGGAATTAAAAGGCCTTATAATTATCTACCCTTCTTCAGATGTTTATTGCAGTCTGGAGGCAAGATCTTCCCCCAGTACATCTTGATGCTCGGGATGCTCGTGGAGTCGCAGACACTGGTAGAAGAGAGTGCTGTTCAAGGAACAGAGCACACTCTTGGGTTAAACATAGCACCTTTTATTAACCAGTTCCAGGTAAGCGTGTAGAGAACCGTTCAGCCAAGACCCTGCTGCCTCCTATTATCGTTGTCTCTCCTTTGAATTTTTACTTAGTCAGTGGGCCTAGCTGGATAGAAAGACTGCAGGCAGTTTCCTAGAGTAAAGGAACATGTCACCAATGAAAGCCAACCTGCGAGTCAGAATAAGCAAGGATTTTTGTCATGAATACTGACTTAAAGTTTACAGATTGTCCTCCGAATCACCTATCACAAGATAGAGATGGTTAATACTTAACGCTGTTTCTGTGCATGGTCCCAAAATGCTATCATCTATCTTTTTGTTACGATAAAAAAAAGGATTATTTACTTACTTTAATGTATAAGTGTTTGTATGCAGGTGTGTCTTGTATGTGCATTGCTTATGGAGTCTAGAAGAAAAGATGAGATCTCTGGGAACTAGAGCCACCATGTGGGTGCTGGGTGCTGAGAGCTGAGTGCAGGGCATCTGCCAGAGCAGTGTGTGTGAAACTGCTGGGTTCTCTCCACCCCATCTTCCTGTTTTATCTCCACTTGCTCTGACTCTTCAATTCTATCAGTCACAGTACACTGGGCCTGCTGCCTTTTCACTGTGCTCCCAGCTATGGCTACTCTTTCCTGAACAGCTTAGGTTGTGTGCTCTGTGTATTTTCATGTAATTTAGATAGTACACCCCACTCCTGTTCTTGTGTGATCCTGCCTTGGTTAAATCCCACCGACTGTTTACATGTCTATGTGAACCCTACAGTTGGCCCTTAATTATCTGAAGAGACGCTATAGCCCTTGTTGGAAGATTTATATATTTTTTAATCTGTCTGTCTATATCTATCTTTCTGGCAGGGTTTCTCTGGGTAGCCCTGGCTGTCCTAGAACTCAGCCAATCAGAGATCAGCTTGCCTCTGCCTCCTGAGTGCTGTTATTGAAGTTTTATGCCACCACTGGCCTGTCATGGCAGTTTTATATTTTATAGACTGTTTTTCCATTGCCGTAGGTATTATTTCCACTACTAGGTAACTGAATCAATGAACCAAAATCAGAGGTTGTTAAAGGACTATAGTACATTAAAAACTATTCAACCTGTTTACTGAGATCTTCTACATGTGCTGTTTTATTTATTTTTGTCTTTTTTAGATAGGGTCTAATATATAGCCCCTTGTGCTTCAATGTGTGACCAAGGATAACCTTGGCCGGGTGGTGGTGGCGCACTGGGAGGCAGAGGCAGGCAGATCTTTGTGAGTCTGAGGCCAGCTTGAACTCCTGCTCTTCCTGTTTCTGTTTTCCAAGGGCTGGAATTATAGATGTATGTCACCATTCCCAAATTATGTGTATAGATTAACTATTCATTGCTACACCACAGTACCTGACAAAAGCACCTGAAAATAAGGGTTTATTTTGACTCGGAGTTTGAGGGAACACAGTCCATTGTGATAGAAAATTCTACCTCTGTTACCCTTCTATCAAAAATAAGGTGGAAGGTTTGTGTTTTTTGGGTTTTGTTTGTTTTTTGTTGTTGTTTTTCATTTGTTGGTTGGTTTTATTTATTATTATTTTTTTTTGTTTTGTTTTTTTTGAGTCATGGTCTTTCTACATAGACCTGGCTGTCCTGGCACTCACTATGCAGACCTGCACCTGCCTCTTTCCCTCCTTCCTGAGTGCTGGGATTAAAGGTGTGCACCACCACACCCAGCAATAATTTGTGTTTTTAAGAACAGCTTGTCTGAAGGGTCTTTTGTAGATTTAACATTCTCAGTTGCTGAAGTGACCACTTGCTTTTTTCTATTTTAAAAGCCTACTATGGAAGAAAAAAAAAGCTGTTTTCAAAATTTGTAGTTTCCATTTTCTCATGTTTCGTTATATTCATGTAGACCGTAAATGTCTAGACTAGTTGTTTAGTAACTGCAATTGGTAAAGCACACAGATCAGTAGCAAAGTGTAAACAGTCTATTCTTGCACAGAAAGAATTTACAGGCAACCATGTTTAAATTGTCTTAAGATGGTAAGATATCTAAGCAACCAAAGAAATAATTGAGTTGTGTACCACTATTTTCAGAATAAAAGCAATCATCGTAATTTTTCAGGATTCCATGTGATTTGAACTGTGCCCTGTTGTCTGGGACTAGGCTTCTAGTGATCCAGTGACTCGTTTGATGTTGCACTAGGAAAACAATTCTCCTTTGCCTTTCTTGCAGTTTTTACTGACTTTTCAGTCACTGAGTTCCTTTAGAAATGTTTTCCAGGCTTGCAACTATTGTTACGCTTTTGCTTCTCTAGGGGCGTAGTTCATTCCGCTAGGCTTGTGTCGTGTCTTTAGAATGAGTTTTCCATTTTCTTGGGGGAAAGTGAGTATTAATGTTGCTTTGCTGATTCTGGAAGTTTGTTTCTTAGAACTGGTTAGATTTTTCTCATAAATAATAAGAGTGGTTATTTGCAAAACTATGATTGGCGTGTTAGCAAATGAGACTGTCGAAGGCATGTGCTACTTGGGAAGCAAAGCGAATGTGTGTATAGAAGCTTTCAATATTGGTATATAGTGGTAATATGATGCTATACTATTGGACCAATAGCAGCCTTCCATAGGCAGGAAAGCATCTTCTAGCAACACTGTCTCGAAAGTATGAGGGACAGAGATGCAGTGCAAGCAAGACTGTGGGTTGTGGGGACTCTGAGAGCTTCAGAATCCTGAGCCTGACTACAGATTGGCATAGGGTGTGCCCTGAGCGGGTAGACCTGTTAAAACACCCCCAGTAACTTGCTTGAATTTGCAGCTGAGGTTTTGAGAACCATTGCCCTGTAGAAAGGAGCTTGTTTTTCAGGATGAATCTGTTTGGATGAATTGGCTTCTTTGAAGCTGGTCTGAACTCACTATGTAGACCAGGCTGGCTTCTCATAAAGATACCTAAGTGCTGGGATTAAGGGGATGTGCCACCCACCATGGCTGGCTGAGTTTGGTGCCTCTGATCAAACACATTAGTACTTACTGTTAGATTATTTATTCACATATTCTAGGAACAGATGTTTCTGGGATTGTTTGGCCACTTCAGAGTTTAGTGTGGTTTCATCCAAGAGAAAGACCTGTAGGTAACAAACCATAGGGAAGTGTTGAACTCGCCTAAACCTTAGCTTGCTCATTCATCCTGAAAAACTGATTCTGAGGTTCATGCCTTAGGGGGATGCAGAATATAAACGAGGCAGTAAACAGCGGTCATGAGGAGCTCATTGTAAATCAGGCACAGAGTAAAGCGGACTGCACAAATGATAGTCAGAGTGTTCTCTTTCAGGTGCCTATCCGTGTGTTTTTGGATTTATCTTCATTGCCATGTGTCCCTTTAAGCCAGCCAGTGGAACTCTTAAGATTAGATCTGATGACGCCGTATCTGAACACTTCCAGTAGAGAAGTAAAGGTAAGGACAACGGCCAGCGGTCACTCTTGTCAGTCAGAACCATTCGCCTTCATGAGGGATACTATACTCACACGGTTTATCATTTTCTTTGAAGATTTAAATCTTTCTAGACAGCATGCAAAAATAGATTGAATAAATATTAGTGTCTAAGACTAGTTATTATTAAATTTGAATGGGTGGTTTAATATGTTTTTAGTTCTTATATTCAATTTGATTAAAAAGAGAAAGACTTTATGATTTGCCTTGATGAAATGTTCAAAATTCGATTTCTATAGGTCCGCATTTGTAGATCTGGACGAGTGACCGCTGTCCCATTTTGGTTTCATTTGTGCCTTGATGATGAGGTCAGGCTGGACACGTCAGGTGAAGCCTCCCACTGGAAGCAAGCTGCCGTGGTTCTGGACACCCCCATCCAGGTGCAGGCGGGAGAGGAGCTTGTGCTCAGTGTGCAGCATCACAAGAGCAATGTCAGCATCACAGTGAAGCAGTGAGAGAGGCTGTAATCATGGGAGGAATGTAAATTTCCTTGTCGTGCTCAAAGTAAAGCGTTAATAAAGCACATGGTAACGGTCTTAACATGCAGCCTTGTTTTTGCTCTCTAGAAAAGGATACGTCCTTTGTTTCATTTTGTTGGGCTTGGTAGGGATTTAAAAGGTGTCTGCCTCACTGTCATATCAGTTAAACAGATTTTTAAGGTTTTGAGGCCTTGGCTTATAAAGGCTTCTAGTGAAGACTGAAAGGTGGTGTGAGCCAGAGCTTGCTTCTGTTAGGTAGCGAGTTAGAGAGTGAAGGGCCTAGGAGGTGTCTTAAGGAGGCACAAACAAAAGCTTAAAAATGCTAATGCAGGGGCTGGAGAGACGGCTCAGCAGAATTTTTCTAAATTTTGATTTGAATGTCCTCTTGCAAAGCTTTGTAATTCATGGGATCCCATTTTTAATTGTCGCTGTTTCCTGAGTGATCTGAAAGCCTTCAGAAAGTCATTGCCCACGTCTCTATCTCGAAGTGCCTTCCCTACTTTTGATTTTGCTAAGGGATTCTTTCTTTCTTTCTCTCTTTATTTTTTGGCTTTTTTTTTTTTT